TTTCCCACATCCCCCAAAGCCTGTATTCTATGTATCATTATATACTATATATAATATAATACACACTTATGCAAGCATCCAAATATCCCAAACACTGGGGATTTTCCCTACTTAAAGAAAACTCGAGCTGTCACATAATTTAAGCTGAAAACTGATGAAGTACAGTGAGAAAGCTGTGCTGTGTGCCCTGTCCTGCCAGGTGACCTGTCCTGGGTGCATTTCAAGTGCCTGTTCTGCACCCACATGATATAATTATTATATAGAATACATACATAAGCATCCAGATATTGAGGATTTTTCCTATTTAAAGAAAACTCGAGCTGTCGTGTATTTTAAGCTGAGAACTGGTGAAGTACAGTGAGAAAGCTCTGCCGTGTGCCCTGTCCCTGCCAGGTGACCTGTCCCAGATGTGTTTCAAGTGCCCATTTTGTACCCACGCCATATATATAATACATACATAAGCATCCAAATACTGAGGATTTTCCTATTTAAAGAAAACTCGAGCTGTCGTGTATTTTAAGCTGGAAACCGGTGAAGTACAGTGAGAAAGCTGTGCCGTGTGCCCTGTCCTGCCAGGTGACCTGCCCTGGGTGCATTTCAAGTGCCCATTTTGTACCCACACCATATACATAATACATACATAAGCATCCAAATACTGAGGATTTTCCTATTTAAAGAAAACTTGAGCTGTCACGTATTTTAAGCTGAGAACTGGTGAAGTACAGTGAGAAAGCTCTGCTGTGTGCCGTGTCCTGCCAGGTGACCTGCCCCGGATGCGTTTCAAGTGCCCGTTCTGCACGCACACGGTGAAGCGCCGGGCGGACCTGAAGCGCCACCTGCGGTGTCACACCGGGGAGCGGCCCTACCCCTGCGAGGCCTGCGGGAAGAGGTTCACCCGCCTGGAGCACCTCCGCAACCACTTCCAAACGGTAGGAAAACCCAGCAGGGTTTAAAGAATTGGTTTATAGTTCAGCAAAGACTCTGCCCATTTTGTACCCACGCCATATATATAATACATACATAAGCATCCAAATACTGAGGATTTTCCTATTTAAAGAAAACTTGAGCTGTCACGTATTTTAAGCTGAGAACTGGTGAAGTACAGTGAGAAAGCTCTGCTGTGTGCCGTGTCCTGCCAGGTGACCTGCCCCGGATGCGTTTCAAGTGCCCGTTCTGCACGCACACGGTGAAGCGCCGGGCGGACCTGAAGCGCCACCTGCGGTGTCACACCGGGGAGCGGCCCTACCCCTGCGAGGCCTGCGGGAAGAGGTTCACCCGCCTGGAGCACCTCCGCAACCACTTCCAAACGGTAGGAAAACCCAGCAGGGTTTAAAGAATTGGTTTGTAGTTCAGCAAAGACTCTGCTCGTTGTGAAAGTGGGAATTAATTCGCTGGTGGAAGCTGTGTAGGTATCTCCAAACCCAACGCCAGAAAAGCAGCGCGTCAGCTTGAGTTGTTTAATTATTCATTATTATTATTTAATTATTCATTGTTTAATGTGGTAAATTGTATTTAAAATTTAATTTTTTAGCGCCATTCAGCACATTTTCTGGCACTGCAAAAGGTCAAGACCAGGTAATAATTGACATAGACTCCATGCATTTATAGAAGGCTCATAATAATCTTCATTAAGAAACCCGTGCTTTTATACCCTAGTTTGCTACAGGTGGACCTAATTGGTCCTTTAATTAAAACACCATCACTACTGGCTAATTAAGAAATCACCCTTTGGTAAACAAATCTCCATAACACATTCCACATGTTTACAACACCAGGCGAAGCAAGCTAAGATAAAAATCGTTTCTCATTCTTTTCCAGAACGATGCCTGGGAAAGTTGCCTGTTGCTCTCTGTGACAACTTTCACGGTCTAAAATAAAGGGATGAAGGCTGAATGTCTGTAAATTTTCAATCCTTTCAGATCCACCAGGCCGGCAAACTGATCTGCAGGAAGTGCAAGCGGCAGGTCACGGAGCTGACGGGCTGCGTGGTGCAGCAGGGGACGCGGCGCTACAGGCTGTGCCACAAGTGCTTGGCAGAAGCCAACTTGGACAGCATCCCCGAGGACTTCAATGCATCTGAACATTCTCCTGTCTCCTCCACGGGAAACAAATGCCCCAAGTGGGATTTGGAGGAGGAGCAGAAATTAGATGAAGAGACAGTGGAAGAGGAGGAGGAGGAGGAGCCCTATAATTTGGTTGTCCGACACAATAACGATGATATTCCGGATGAGGTAAAGGAAAAGGTGAAGCCAAATCTTAGGTAGATCTTTGTGTGTTTGTTATTGTTGTGTTCAAGGTTGAATGGCTCGTGTCCTACCAGCTAATGCTGGTATAATACTTTTAATAAAATGAAGTATTGTTAAAATTCTGTTCTGAGAAGCAACACTGGACTGAAACAAGTTGTTCTGCAGACATGGAACGGTGTAACTGCTTCTAAATGTCATCCAGAAATTACTGAGGATCATAAACTAGCCTGAGCTGAAAGGGACCCACAAGGAACACTGAAGTCCAACTGCTCACTTGTTAGCTGGAACTGTTTAGGAGAATTGTTTTATATTTCATCAGAGACTTGCTCAGAGCTCCTGCTCGTCGTGGAAGTGTGAACCAGTTTACAGTTCTGCAAAGGTTCTGTATGACACAGACTTCTAAAAACCAAATATTGCTAATTTAATTTGGAAAAACTCTTCCTGAGGTGAGCAGCTGAGAAATGCTAAACCACTTTTTTTTTTTTTTTTTTTTTTTTTTTGCTGAGATTGTAATAAATTTGTACATAACACATCAGAAAGTTCCTAAGAAAGGAGCAAGGGAAACAAGTGGAGTTCTTCCTGTTGAAGAACCTTTTTACCAGAGCTTTGTTTTCTCAGTGAACTTTACAGCTTCTTATAGTTGAGAAAAGCATGATTTAGGAACTCCCACAGCCAGACTAGAGTAGGTGACCAGAGCATCTGTAGTGCACTTGGATAGTATGAATTTGCCTCTTTTTTTTGTACTGTGAATTTTATAGAAAGATACACCAACGTGGTTCCAAGGAAATAAAAGTGCAATCACTGGAAGTGCAGTTGTCAGGTTTTTTCTATTTTTTTTTTCCCTAGGATTGATGCAAGATTTGCTTAAACCCATCTATCTTACTCTGGGAATAAAGAGGCCAAGTCCTTGAATTTCAGTGGGACATTTGTGACTTTGCAGCTACTTTGGAAAGGCTCTCCTGCTCTTAGAACTTTAGGGTGTTTGACAGCATAAAACCATTCTTTTTATAGCACAATTTCCCTTAGAGGTTAAGTAACTTGTAGTTTTGGAGTCTTTTAAGGTTTTTTAGTAATATTTTTTTCCCCACTCACTTGGATCAGAGAACCTGCCTTTGGCAGAGGAACTACAACTGCTCAACTAAAAAAACTGAAATAAAAAATTTTATTAAATGATTAAAAAAGCTCAAGGAGTGCACAGAAGAAACCTTCTGCCTGAGAGCAGAGAATGGCATTCCCAGTGGGCACTCCTGATAAAGAGCCACTGTTTGGTCTCACGTCTCATTTGATGCTGTGTTTCCTTTCCTGTTAGCAGCATCTGTACTCTGAGGCTCCTGCCAAGAAAGCAGAAATTCCCCACAGAGAATTTGAGAACAGCCATATTGATGCACATCCAGGTTCTGCCTCCAGCAGCTGCCATTAAACTTGGCAAAAGTGAGAACGGGCCAAGCTTCTGTGATAATTCCTTAATGCTCTCCCAATCTCCAGCCTTTTTCAGTTCTCCTTGAGATTTGCACCTTTAGTAACCACCAATGCAGGTCTTTTCCAAGTAGTTCACTACTCAATCCCTGACCTTCCTACATCTGCAGGATCCTCTGGCACCCCCAGGAGGGTTTGCAGTTTAAGGGTGTTTTTTGATGACACACTTTCTCCTCCTGTAAAGCCCTGGGAGAGCAGCACTGTGAGCTGAAACTTGCCACTGCCACAGCTGTGCAAATGGAACAAGGTGGATTTAAGGCCTGTTTTATAGTAAGTACTTAATAAATATTGAAAAAAAAAATAGATGAATAACACTTACTTAGTTAATTCCAAATGTTTTCCTAGCAAGCTCCTGTCAGCATTTCAGTAAGTAGAGCACTTCAGTGTGTTACTATAGCTTGAGACTGATCTTGGGACACCTCAGCATTTGTCTGCAAAGTTAAAATTTAACCACATAAATTTATTTTCTCAGGTTTTAGAGAGCTGGGCTAAAGGAAAGCTGACCTCAGTTCCTACACCCACCTCCCCTCAGATTCTTGCCCATCTCCCCATAGCCCCAGCCCCTCAACCCATCTCCCCATAGCCCCAGCTCAGGTCCTTCCCCAACTCCCCAGTCCCTCACCACTGACCCTCAGCCCGTGTCCATCTCCCCACACCACTGACCCTCGGCCCGTGTCCATCTCCCCTCACCACTGACCCTCGGCCCGTGTCCATCTCCCCTCACCACTGACCCTCGGCCCGTGTCCATCTCCCCACACCACTGACCCTCGGCCCGTGTCCATCTCCCCACACCAATGACCCTTGGTCAGTGTCCATCTCCCCTCACCACTGACCCTCGGCCCGTGTCCATCTCCCCACACCACTGACCCTCGGCCCGTGTCCATCTCCCCACACCAATGACCCTTGGTCAGTGTCCATCTCCCCTCACCACTGACCCTCGGCCCCCGGCCATCTCCCCTCAGGCTGTGGAGAACAAAAAGCTGCCTCAACTCGACGCCCGATTGGCCGAGCGCAGTCACGTGACCCAGGGGCAGCCAATGATGTTCCAGAGCGGCTCCTGAAGGGCCGCAATGGCGGCCGCGCCCTCACTGCCCTTGGGGCTCGTTGTGAGGAGAAAGAAACCCCAAGCTGTCAAAAATCACACTTATTTTGTATAATTAAACTGGTATGTTGCAATTCTTACTGATAAAAAAGAGTCTGCTCACCTTAGCAGAGGACAAAGCACGAGTATAACTCACTTGTGTATGAATTGACCAGCCAAGATCATTCACAAAGCCATTAATGTTCCAGTCCAAGTTTTATTTTGGCACTGAGGCTTGCTTAAAAAAAATCAGAGAGGTTTTATCCCTCAGTTTTTACAGCATGGAAATAAAACCAGAACTATTTAAGATGATTTTACAAGATGAGACACCACAGTGAGGCACTTGGAGCACTTTCAGTAACAGAGCAGGCCAGGCCTATGCTGCTCACATTTAAATTAAATTAAAACAGCAGGTAATGCACATTTGCCATCCTGTGATTTAAAAAAAACCACACTTTTGATTAATTTTGATTCAGTCAAGTCCATAATCCTTTGACATTTAAGGATTGTCTGTATTGTTCTTTTAAAAGACAATTAGGCTGATCCAAACCATGCTTTTAAAAAAAATACTCAATTTTCACAAGATACAGCTGGGAGCGAACCCAGGGAGAACCTGGGACATCCCTTTCCATTCCCTTCCACCACAGCAGCAGAGCTGCCAACTTTTTAGAGTTATCATAGATGATAAAAGGATTTCAGGTACACAGTCACATGTTTTAAGATTTCATGTGGCAATTTATTTACAGCAATTCAGCACCACCTGCTGGCATGGCTTCTTTTTAAAGTACCTTAAAAGATGTGGTGGTTTGTTTGTTTAATTGGCATCATTTTTTAGGTGTCTAATTTTAAACACTCAAAGATTTTTTTTTTCCCACATTACATCTGAGCCACTGCAGCTATTTTGGATTTATGGAATGTGGAGGAGGGATGTCAGCTCAGAATTAGAACATGAAATATGCAAATGAAATCAATCTAGATGAACATTATCTCCTGCCACGCTGCAAAAAGGGAGTATTTTAGTTATCAGCTCCAGCAATTTCTGTATTTCATACAGCCCCTAGCACATGTACCAGCCTGAAAAGCTGACTGCCAGCATTCCTGGGACTCTTCCAACCTGTACAAACCTCTCCTTCTCCATACCCCCCAAAACCTCACAGAATTCTTATTCTCTGTCTCAAGTGAAAACAGTCTGACATTCCCTGCAATTATTCCCTTCAATTTCTGATTTTAACTGGCCAATTCCTTAGTTTTTTCCACAGGGATTACAGTTTTAGGGGGCTTTTGCCAGATGATGACCAATATCCAGCCAACCACACCATTCTTGTTTTAAATATCAATGATGACAAAGACTTCTGGCTTTTCATCTTCACAGATCTGCATTGCTGAGTAAGTTATGGCTTTGACCTCTGTGCCCTAGAAAAGAGACACAAATCATGGATTTTCTAGATTTTATCCCTTTTACCAGTTCAGAACCCCCAGTTCTCATCACTTTCCTCAAATGCTATCCATTTTTTCCCCAGAAAAAAGCTGTAACTGTATTTGTTCTGATGAATAAGGAAGTTGCCACACTAATGGCCAGGTCAAATAGTGAAAAGGGAATTATTTCCTTATTTTATTGCCTCTTTACATCACAAATTCCTTCTTTTACCTCTGACAGACCATCAACATTTGCTATGCTAAAAATGACACAGAGCAAGACATCAGATTTTGCTTCTAACAATTCTTTAGGTAGAAAAGAAAGAAGAAAAAAGCAAAAACTAACTAAGCAGAAATCTGTACCAATAGTGCAAAACACAAATTCTGAACATAGATTGATTTTCTGTGTTATCAACATCACAAAAAGGGAGCAAATTGAGTTAATTTGTTGAGTTTTGAGGAAATGTCATGCTCAGTTTCAGGGACACATTCACCAAACCATGCAGGAAGTGAGATCTTGAGTTCAGTGGCACTTCAGCCACATTTATATTTTGATCTCTGCAGAACTAAGAGGTCTGATTTAAAGGACACGACACCTCCTTCCCTTAAAATGGAAAAGAGGAACCACTGCCTACCTGAGGGTGTTTGTCTAAAGAGAATGCTTCTCCCCACCTGTAAAGGCAAAAAAAAATAGAAAAGAGGTGTTGTAATTTTGATAATATTCACCAAATGCTATAATTAGTTTTATTGATGAGCACAGAATAGTGAGATTTTCCTTTAAAGCCTCAAAGGAAGCAAGAAAAGCCCACAATCCATTTTCAGACAAGGGTTTAAGCTCACCCAATTGATCTTATTTTGAACTGCCTTCGGTCAATGTGAAGCACTTTCACTTCCTGCAGGGAGTGGGAGGAGAAGTGTGTCAGTCACACCTTCTACCCTGAGGCACAAATTCCCAGTAAATCCCACTTACAAAGGTTATTTCCCAGTGTTTAAGGTTATTTCCCAGTGTTTAGACACCTTCCACCAGCCCAGCTTGCCCCAAGCCCCATCCAGCCTGGCTTTGTATTTCTTGTGTTCCTTTTTCCCCCTAAAATACCATTGCATTCAGAGCTGGGATTATCAGGGAACAGCTTTGTCCTACAAATGGAAAAAGCTGAAAGCAGAACACTTACCCTGGGTATAAAAAACTCATCAGCACTGAATTTATACAGCCACTCATCCAGGAAGTGGAAGAGAAGAGACAACAGGTCATGCCCTGTGTGGTTGAAGCAGAGATTGTCTCAGCAAAAAAAAACATTTTTAAGAGCACCTCAGACATACAGGAGATTCAGATAACGATGCTTAATTATATTTTAATTAGCTGCAGTAAGGGCATGGGTAAAGATTGAGATTTTTGGTGCCTTCCTCACAATCTTAGCTCTCCATGCAAGTGCAGGCCTCACCTTCTGCCTCTACCTCCACTGTGTCCACAGGTTCCACGGTGCCTGTGTCTGTCATGTAGCCAAACATGGCCATGGCACACTGCTCAAAGGCTTCTTCCAACGTGTCTCCCCAGGCATGGAGCCTAAAAACACAAGGAACAATCACTGGAACCTAAAAACACATGGAACAATCACTGGAACCTAAAACCACCCAGGGAACAATCAGTGGAACCTAAAAACACATGGAAACATCACTGGAACCTAAAAAACCACATGGAACAATCACTAGAGCCCAAAAACCACCTTAAAACACCACGTGGACCCATCATTGGAGCCCAAAAACACATGGAACAATCACTGGAACCTAAAAACACATGGAACAATCACTGGAACCCAAAACCACCACATGGAACAATCACTGGAACCTAGAAACACATGGAACAATCACTGGAACCCAAAAACACCACATGGAACAATCACTGGAACCTAAAAACACATGGAACAATCACCGGAACCCAAAAAACACATGGAACAATCACTGGAACCTAAAAAACCACATGGAACAATCACTAGAGCCCAAAAACCACATGGAACAATCACTGGAACCCAAAACCACCCAGGGAACAATCAGTGGAACCTAAAAACACATGGAACAATCACTAGAGCCCAAAAAAACACATGGAACAATCACTGGAAACCAAAAACACCCATGGAACAATCACTGGAACCCAAAAACACAAGGAACAATCACTGGAACAAAAAAAAACACATGGAACAATCACTGGAACCAAAAAAAACACATGGAACCATCACTGGAACCCAAAAAACACATGGAACAATCACTGGAACCCAAAAAAACACATGGAACAATCACTGGAACCCAAAACTACCCATGGAACAATCACTGGAGCCCAAAAAACCACATGGAACAGGAGATTTCAAAAGACATTTCCAAATAACACAGGGGCTTAGTTAGAAGCACCTCTGAAATACTAAAAAAGAAACCAAACATAATTCTATGGTGTCCCAAAAGCAGGAACAAAATTGACCATATCAAAGCACCCAGCAAGTGAAACTTCAGAGTGCCACAAGGTGTTAGATCTGCAAAGTGTCCTTGGCTGTTACTGCAGGCTTAAAGCAGTGTAAAAAATAATCAATTTGTCACCCTGAGAAATCCCAGCTGCCCACACTTACTGCACGTCTGCTGTGTGATCCAAATCTGAGGGGAAGCAAAAAGAAAAGGAATGATGTCACCAAAGGTTTTATAACATGAGGATTAAAAAAAAAATAACATAAAGACCTGATTTTCTAACAGAACATTTTTACATTCATCTGCAGATGTGATAAATCCATTTTGTAGTATATTAGAAAAATTTAGCACAGGTGGAATTTTGGATTATTTCTGTCAAAAAAACCCTGTTTAATGGGATTGTGTCAGTGCAGGGTTTGGCTGCTATAACCCAACAGGCTTCCACAAGTTAACTGCAATAAAAAGAAACTTTCACCAGGAGTAAAGAGTTTATGCTGAAGTCTGCAGGACTGAAAGTTATTCATGCAGAGGGTGAGATCTGCAAATATTTCCAGCTCAGTGAGGAAATCTACCTGTCCACACCCAAAAGCAGCCATTATGTAAAGAGAAGAATTTAAAACATAGGATGGAATATAAAATAGAAGACAAACTTTACTCATGGAGCATGATTAACATCCCATGTATCCAGCTGTACATGAACCTCATTTATATTTATTCAGAGGAATGAAAGAAATGCAAAAATCCAGCAGAACTAAGTTGGGATGTGAAATAAATGCTCACTTCAACTGAAAGAAAAAAGATTCTGGTGCTGTTTAAAGAGATCACACACTACTAAAGGGTTCTCAACAACAGTCTCTAAAGCAAACAAATTCCTCTGGATGCAAAAGAGGGATAAAACCTCCTCCAGTTATGGAAACTGCATGGCTGTTGTGATGTGTCACAATTTCTGCACTTCTATCAAAGTAAGACCTGAACACAGCCTAAAAATGTAAATTCTGTCAGAGGTAACAGAGGCTGGCCCTCCAGACAGGCACTGGTGACACAAAAACCAGGCAGGGAAGGGTCCCCTGCCTGAAGCTGGCCCTTGGGCTTCCACCCAAATGTTCTTAGGAGACATTCCAGGGGTGGGAAAAGGTAGATAATCATCTTTAGGCAGAGTAAAAACACCACACACACAAAACCAGCACACTTTTCAATGTCCCTCCCACATGAGAGGTAGGAAAAATTGCTAAGAAATGGCTCAGAAGAGGAAAAGTTTTCAGGGTGAGCCTTAAGTAATTTATTTCTATGGTGATTTTTTTTTTTTTCAGTGCCCACAACAAGAAAAGCACAATGGTTTCTCATTTCTGTATTTCCTGTTATGTCACAACAGCACTGCCACACTTACTATGAATCACGATAATATTTTTCAGTGCCCACAACAAGAAAAGCACAATGGTTTCTCATTTCTGTATTTCCTGTTATGTCACAACAGCACTGCCACACTTACTATGAATGACAATAATATTTTTTAAAAATAAAATAAAAAAATTAAAAAGTAAAAAAATGAAATTAAACAAATGAAAATACTCACACTCAAAAAAAAAAAAATTAAAAAAATAATTAAAAAGTAAAAAAAATAAATAAAATAATGAAAATACTCACACTCATATTTCTTGCAGAGAGGGGGGTACTTGTCTTTCACAGCCTTCTGCTCCTGGGTCAGGTTGTAATCCCTGTCCTCAGCTGCCATCGCTGGGGGCTCCTCAGGGCCCCAGCAATTCACCTGTGGAGAACAGGGAGGGATCATCTCAGGGCTAAATTCGTGTCATTTCAGCCTGTTTGTGTCAAAGTGGGAGTGAGGAAGTTGGGAGTTCAATCCATGAAGTGATGTTTGTTCAGCCAGCAGAGCCAAGGGAAAATATTCCTTACAGGAATCGTGGACTTTGGCCTTTCCTGGGGAGAATTGTGGTTTTTTCCTCCTTGTGTACACTGAGCATTCCATTCATTCCCAATTAATAAAACACAGCTGATGGGAACAGCTGTAAAGTGAATTCAACTTTCACGCTTTAGGTAAATTTTAATTTTCTAATTTTTTTCTTTTGATGGTTGTACATCACACACCCGAAGTGTCACTGCCCCCAAAAACCCCTGATGCGACCTTACAGAAGATTTTTCTTAGGAAAAAAAGTTGTGTTTTCCTAGGACAAGGATTATATTAAAACCTCCAAACCTCACAGAACAAATCCAGCTGTCACCCAAGTGTCAGGGTTTCCTGTGTCAGGGGTTTCCTGTGTTCATTTTCTGGCCGATTTTTAAAATAAAACAGACAAACAGAACTGTATCAACTCCCCCATTTAAAAGCAGAATCTCACAAATTGCTGTTTTCCTAGGTTTTTTTTGTAAATCCAACAGACACAAGCTGAAGAACCCAATTAACTTCAGGCTAATGAATTTTCCTCTCCAGATTTCCAGACATCATAACCATCCTTTAATATTTTTGTGCATTATACGATTTATCCACAGCTGAACCCAAGATTCACAGATACCCCTTAACTTTTACACAGGAGTTGCTTCTTACTCCAAGGCTTAAAAACAAAACATTGGACTTCCAATTTTTAATTTCAGCTAAAATCTAAGTGTGTTGGAAAGAGAAGTCCGCAGTTGAGAACTCGGGGTATCCCTTGAGGAATAAACCCAGATATTGATTTGATATTTGATTTTAAACCTGTTAAGCCTCAGCTGTGAGCAGCCACTCCCGGGTCACCCTCAGCAGCCGAGCAGAACCAGCAAATATTACGCCTCTAAAACTCACCGCGGCACTGAACTGAGGAAAAAGGGAATATTTTGGTGATTACAGAGAATTAATAACGCCGAGATAGCCGATGGTGTCAGGGCAGCCCTGGAAGGAGGCCTCGGCCCACACACGCACCGCTCCGCTCCAGTCCCGCCCCGATACGCTCTGCCCACGTCTGCGGTGGCCGGAGGAGCCGCAGACACCGGTTCATCCAAACCGAGCACCGGGAGGGAGAACCGGGAACCGGGACCGAACCTCACAGCGGGGCGCGGCCCCTTTAAGAGCGCGCTGGGGGCGCTCCGGAAAATGGCGGCTCCCACGGGGAGCCCTCCCACGTGACCGCCGCGCGCGCTCCCGTCCCCGCCCCCTTTCCCTCCGCCGATTGGCCGGCGCCTCCCGGCGGCGGGCGCTGATTGGGCGGCGTTGGCGCGCGAAGGGGTGCGCGGCGCCGGGAGCCGCACGCAGCGGGGGCAGGAAACAATAGACGGAGCCGCGGCCGGAGGGGTCGGAGCAGGGAGCGCAGGAACCGCCCGCCCGCCTCGCCCAGCCCGCCCCGCCTCGCTCCCCGCGGCCGCCGCGCTCCCCCCGCCCCGCCATGGCGGACAAGGAAGGTAAATGCTCCGTATGGGCGGCGCGGCCTCTGCCGTGAGGCGCGGGCTGCCCCCCCCCCCCCCCCCCACCCCATCCGGTACGGCGTGAGGGGAGCGGGGCGGTGCCGCCAGGGGGCGCGCGGGGGCGGGGCCTGAGGGGCCCCCCCCGGTCATGGCCGCCGCGCAAACCGGGGAGAGCGGGCTAGGCCGGGACCTTCTGCCCGGCCCTGTGCCCCTAGGAGGGGTTCGTGAGACCGGGAGAGCCGGGCCGTGCCCTGCGGGGGCAGCGGGCACACGAAGCGGTGTCACCGGCTGCTGCCGCGCGCCCTGGGGGCGTCCCGGTTCGGCCGGGGTGCCTCCGTTTCATGGGTGAGCTGCGGTTCCACGGGGGTGCCTCCGGTTCCATGGGGATGCCCCCGGTTCCTTGGGGGTGCCCCCGTTTCCACGGGGATATCCCCGGTTCCTTGGCGGTGTCCCCGGTTCCTTGGAGGTGTCCCCTTTCCGCCGCTGAGCTCCCCCAGGTCTGCCCGTCGCCTTCGCCTCTACACCGGAGGCTGGTGACAGATGGGCCGAGAAAGCGTTTGAAAGCGACAAGGCAGCAGAAGGAGCCTTGGGAAACTGGATTTTGGGAATAACTACTCCAAGGCTGTGCCCAGACCGGTTTGTTAAACGGCAGCTGCTGGATCTCCTGCCTTTAAACATGGTTACAAGGCTGGGTTTTGCCTCCCTGTGCTCCGAGTCTCAGAATTTTCTTGTGCTGCTCTAACATCATCATCATCAAATCATCCCAGATTGGGTTGGAACCTTAAACTCATCCCATTCCACCCCTGCCATGGCAGGGACACCTTCCACTATCCCAAGCCCTGTCCAGCCTGCACTGGGACAAGAAATTTGACATAATTAATATTAATTCCCAGCCATAGATGCAGAAAAAAAGGATTAGCATGTGCAACAGGGGATTTTTAACCATTTAGTAACTACTCCAGTAGAGCAAACAGCAAACCAGGGTGTGAGTGATGTACTTGACTCTCACCCATTGCCTGCCCACAGTGCTGTGTGCCTGTAAACCCATTTGTAAATAATTAATTGTGTGTATTTCTTGCTAAACCACTTCAGCAGCCTTTGATGATGCAGTGGAAGAGCGTGTGATCAACGAGGAGTACAAGATATGGAAAAAGAACACCCCCTTCCTGTATGATCTGGTGATGACCCATGCCCTGGAGTGGCCCAGCTTGACTGCTCAGTGGCTTCCTGATGTCACAAGGTAAAAGGACTCCTTTAAAGCAGAATAAGCAGCAAATCCAGCCTTGTGCTGACATTTAGGTTGAGATCACAGAATCCCAAACTGGTTTGGACCATCCAGGGACACTTCCACCATCCCAGGTTGCTCCAAGCCCTGTCCAACCTGGCCTTGGACACTTCCATGGATGTGGCATCCACAACTTCTCCTGTGCCAACACCTCCCCATCCTCCCAGGGATGACATTTTGTGATCCCTGTTGTGTTTCTCTCCCCCTGCAGACCTGAAGGCAAAGATTTCAGCATCCACAGGTTGGTGCTGGGCACCCACACCTCAGATGAACAAAACCACCTGGTGATTGCCAGCGTGCAGCTGCCCAACGACGATGCCCAGTTTGATGCTTCCCACTATGACAGTGAGAAAGGAGGTGAGAGCTCAAAAAGGGGGATTTGAACCATTTTTCCCTTCTTTTCTCAGTAGAAAATTTGTCTTTTTCCTAAAGTTCAGGCAGCAAAGTTCAGATTTTACTTCTAAAAAAATTTATTTCTAAGCGGTGCCTCCTTAATAGACAAATTCTGTGTTTGTTGAATGTGTTCCTAATCTAATATTTCTAATGATTAAAACAGACAGTAGAGGTTAATTGCAAAAATATTTGTGTGTGGGAAAACCTCTCCCTTCCCTATTTCTCAGAGCTGACCTTGAATCCCACACACTGCTTTTAATTGGTGTTTTTATTACCACGTTTGCATTACGCAAAGTCACGCAAAACATTTTTACACAAACTCATGTAAAAGAGTATTTTTATTTCAGAGGGGTGTAGCATTTCAAACATTCTCCATTTGTCTGTGAGTTCTGCTGCCTGATTGCTGTCCCAGCCCCTCTAGGGTGAAATTATGTTTTATTCCATGTATCAGACTTGAATTTGATGCTCTGTAATCTTTGTGGCTGTCCCAAGTTAGACATTTCTCCTGTTTGCTTGGCTGAATCAGTCTTTCCACCTGGTGAAAGTCCTTAATGATCCAATGTTTGCTCTGCTTTTTACAGGAAGTTTGGATTGTGCAATGAGTATTTTGATCTTTGGGCTTCTTAAAGTTGTTTATGCACACAGGGTTGTCTAATAAATATGTGTTTCTGTTCTACTTCAGTATTTCTCAAAAGTATTTTCAATTAATTCTAAAATAATCCAAAACACATCATTTTTGCCCAAATTTTGCAGTTTTATGAATTATAAGTTATTTTATGTATAAAGACAAGGGAGGTTAAACAAGTTGTATCACAGTCTTAAAATTGCAATTTGTTTTTACCACAACTTTGTCTATTCTGAGAGCTTGGTAGCAAACCTTGAACCAACTCTTTGTGCCTTGTTCTGAAACTGACTTTATTATTCACAACTCTCTTTTTCCTAGAGTTTGGAGGCTTTGGCTCAGTAAGTGGAAAAATTGAAATTGAGATCAAGATAAACCACGAGGGAGAGGTGAACAGGGCCCGTTACATGCCCCAGAACCCCTGCATCATTGCCACCAAGACCCCCTCCAGTGATGTCCTGGTCTTTGATTACACCAAACACCCCTCCAAACCAGGTCTGTGCCCAGAGAGCAGCCAGCTCATCCCCTGAGGGTCAAAACAGAGGTTAAAAATGGTGTGGCTTCCCCCTTATTTGGGATTTTAGGGAGGTGTGTTATTCAAGAGGTTATTTTGTATGAAGTTCAAGCAGATGTATCCAAATGCATCCTTGGGAAAGGAAACCTTTTCCTGCACTTCCACTGGTTGTTTTGTCACCTCACTGTGAGCTATTTCAGGTGGTAGAAGGTGGATTTTTGGAAACTGGGATTGATTTGGTGGGTAGCTGAGCTGTTCCCCTGATAACTTGTAAATATATTAACAGAAATTTACCTATGAACTCATCAAGATTGTTTAAAATAACTCCTTTTGCTGCTTGTGGGGAGGATCAGAAGTGCCTTCCTCGTGCAGTTGGAGATGATGAGAGGAAAAAAGACATCCCACCTTACATTTCTGAGTGTTGAGGAGGAGTTTTTTGGGCAGTAAGAGCTGAGCTGCTGTTCCTCCCTCGTGCTGGAACTCAGGCCAAAGCATGGAGGTGGCTACTGGGTTAAAGCAAAGTTCAATAAACTTAACAGCAGCTATTCCAGGATGTGCTGGGAATGATTCCAGGCCCTGAAATCCTTACCCTGCCTTGTTGCAGATCCTTCTGGAGAGTGCAACCCCGACCTGCGTCTCCGTGGGCACCAGAAGGAGGGCTATGGGCTCTCCTGGAACCCCAACCTCAGCGGCCACTTGCTGAGTGCTTCTGATGATCACGTGAGTACCTGGGCTAAACCTGCACTTGCTGTGCCCTGGGAAGGGCAAAAACATCCTGGGTTTGAGGGGGAGGAGGGAAAGAGGGTCTAAAGATGTTAAATTTTTACCTTTTTGTTGTTCTAAAGACCATTTGCTTGTGGGATATCAGTGCTGTTCCCAAAGAAGGCAAAGTGGTGGATGCCAAGACCATCTTCACGGGACACACAGCAGTGGTGGAAGATGTATCCTGGCACCTGCTCCATGAATCCCTCTTTGGATCTGTTGCTGATGATCAGAAGCTGATGATGTAAGTGAAGGGACCCCTTCACAAATTGTTTCTGCCCCTCAAGCTTTCCCATCTCCATAATCAGAGAGATGGGGTGCAGACCTTTGTTCATTCCTTGTTTTCCCCTCCCAGCTGGGACACACGGTCGAACAACACCTCCAAACCCAGTCATTCTGTGGATGCTCACACAGCTGAGGTGAACTGCCTCTCCTTCAACCCCTACAGTGAGTTTATCCTGGCCACAGGATCAGCTGATAAGGTACTTCTGCCTGCATCTTGGAATGTCCTTGCTCACTTTCTGGGGTGGATGTCTGTGCTGGTTACTTCAACAAAATATTTTATTTTTTTCCTAGACTGTTGCTCTATGGGACTTGAGGAACCTAAAACTGAAGCTGCACTCCTTTGAATCACATAAAGATGAAATATTTCAGGTATAAAAAAAGTCTTTATCTTTTATCCTCACAGACTTAGTTCTGCTCAGCAGCCTGGAAGGGGAAAGTATTTCTTCCACAATGTTTTTCCACTTAAAAACTCATATTCAATTCTTTTATCTGCTTATATTTTCTGGGTGTTGTTGTTGTGGACCTGCTGAGCTCCCATGCAGAAAGAGAGTCCAGAAAGGGATCAGGGAAATGCTCTGGAGCTTTAACCACAGCAGGAGGATGAAATGGTAGCAGTGCAGAGTCCATTAAATTATTCATGGCAGCAGATTGAAGCAGGAGGCCCAGGGAAATGGCTGCAGTGTTTGCATCTCCTCAGCCTGCTCCTGCAGGAAGCTTTAACACTCTCTGACAAGAGATAATTGCTGATTTTGCTGCTGTAAATAGAGAATGTTCACTCCATGGGCAGCACCTGCTTAGCAGATTAAATATTTCCATCTCCAACTCGTGCCTTAATCAGAGGAAAAATATGTAGAGTTTTTTTTTTTGGTGGAGGGATTATCAGTTCAGACTGTGTTATGTCTA